CCTGTGAGGGTGAGACAGCAGGAGGCAGAGGTCAGAGGTCAGATCCTTTATTTCTCACACATCAGAGATGCTCAATCTGCTGCACTGACCTCAGAGAGAGACTTCACCATCAAACAAGTGCTCAGTGTGTGTGTGTGTGTGTGTGTGTGTGTGTGTTCAGAGCGCTGCCGTCTCCAGCTCCATGTCACTCACACACTTCCTCTTCCTGCGCATCCCGTCCTCCGGCTCTCCTGCAGGGATGAAGAACTTCCTCTTGGGCAGCGGTGTGTGTGTGTGTGCTGCGGGCAGCGGTGTGTGTGTGTGTGCTGCGGGCAGCGGTGTGTGTGTGTGTGCTGCGGGCAGCGGTGTGTGTGTGTGTGCTGCGGGCAGCGGTGTGTGTGTGTGTGCTGCGGGCAGCGGTGTGTGTGTGTGTGCTGCGGGCAGCGGTGTGTGCGCTCCAGGAGAGCTGATCCAGGACCTGCTGGTGAAGCCGGAGTCGGAGAGATCCAGCTCAGAGCCGCTGGAGGGCATCTGGACATCTGCTGACCTGAGACCTGCTGCTCTGCCCACCGCACCGCCCGCACCCTGCTGAACGGCTGATCTCAGACCTGCGCTGCCAGGCCCCTGCGGGACAGAGGCTTCAGAAGAGGAGGCGGAGTCCTCCGAGCTGCCGTCATACGGGTCCAGAGTCTGAAACACAACACACCGTTACACACACACACACACACACACTCTCTGTGTGTGTGTCTTTTGTGCTGTGTTTGAATTGACACTGACAGATAAACCCCGTCTGCTCACACTAGCAGCACACATCCACACAATAACCCACGATCACCTGCACCGCGGCGGCTCTGCACTGTTCATAATGTAGAGATCAGAACTGCAGAAACAGGATGAACACTTCCCTGAAACACTGATCACCATCATCATCCTCATCATCATCCTCATCATCAGCACTGGGGATCTGCTGCACCAGTTGTAGATGATCATCAGGAGTGTAAGCCGGGCCGGGCCGGTCCTCCACCAGAGTTGCTCTGTTTACATTAGTCTGCTGCTGCTCGGTGTGCTCAGAGTTTGTTCTGTCAGGAATGGCCCCATGATGGACCGTCAGAGGGAGGGTGGGTCTATCGAGCATCCTGAACCCCCCGGGCTATGGGCCTGGAAGCTCGGCCCGGCTGTGAGGTATGCTGGAGGGCTGTTGGGGTTTGGGTCTGTTTGCCGCCGCAGGGTCCGGACGCGTCGCTGTCAGTGCTGGATAGAGGAACTCTGCGTTCAGCAGGAACCGTACAGCGTCAGTCCAACAGCTCAGCAGAGGCAGGAGATCCAGCAGAACCGCTTCAACAGGGGAACACACACCCGGAGTGGCCCAGACACAGTCCTGACCTCGACCTGATGGAGATGCTCTGCAGAGAGCGACTGACACACACATCCTCAGAGTCCTGCGGAACTGAAGCGGGCCCGGACAGAGGAGCGCCGGGCAGCGTCAGGATGGGTTTGCTGGAGCTTTATTGCGGAGACTCAAGCAGATGCTGAACACACAGCTAAGCACACACACACACACACACACACAGCTACACACACATACACACACACACCTGACCAGCCGGACCCCGAGTGTGTACATGTGTTCAGGTAATGATGCTAGTGTGGGTTAGCATGAGCGGACCGTGTTCATCTGCTGCAGTGATGGAGGTGAAGATCAGAACTCGAGAAGAGAAGAGCTGTGTGTGTGTGTGTGTGTGTGTGTGTGTGTTGACCTGCTGGTAGTTGGGTCCGCTGATGCGCTGCAGTCTCCTCCGAGCTCCTCTGTTCTCTGGAGTGCTGCTCTCACAGCCCTGACACAACACAAGAGGAGAGAGAGAGAGAGAGTGTGTGTGTGAGTGTGTGTGTTTGTGCTTCATCATCATCATCATCAGATATACCTTACTGCTGCTGACGTCAGACCATCTGCGGTTCTCTGACTCAGAGTCTGAACTGGAGTCCACTTTACACATCTCCTGCCACACACACACACACACGTCAAGAGTAAACAGACACACACACAGAAGCATGTGGATGTGTGTGTGTGTGTGTGTGTAACGGAGGTCAGCTAGTGAAGTGCTGTGCAGGTGAGACAGACGCTGGAGGTCATGGTCCGACTCCTAGTTAAAGCAACCGACTACCATGCGGAAGGTCGCTGGTTCGATCCCAGCTCGGAGCGGGTTGGGTGGTGTAGGACCGGCAGGGTTACACGTGTGTGTATCAGTTTGTGCGTAGGTGTGTGTGTGTGTGTGTGTGTGTGTGTGTGTGTGTGTGTGTGTGTGTGTGTTGCGGATTGCCAGCTGCAGTCAGAAACGGAAGTGCTTCAGTAATGAAGGCGGATGTTGGCCTGAATCTCACCATGTAAGTGAAGGCCAGTCTGCAGACCACATCCGCCTGGACACCGCTATTGATCAGCTCAGCCATACCTGATCAGCTCCAGTCAACCTGATCGATCAACTCACACACACACACTCCCATCTGACTGAGCACACCTGCCTTTATACTGCAGCAGCCAATCACCGGCGTGTGTGTGTGTGTGTGTGTGTGTGAGAGAGAGTGTGTGTGTGTGTGTCTGTTTCTGATGAAAGTAGTGCCCTGAATCTCCCTGAAGCCGACTGGAGCTGTACTCTGGGTTTAGTGTGTTCACTGTAATGATCTTCACTGCAGTGTGTGTGTGTGTGTGTGTTCACTGTAATGATCTTCACTGCAGTGTGTGTGTGTGTGTGTGTGTGTGTGTTCACTGTAATGATCTTCACTGCAGTGTGTGTGTGTGTGTGTGTTCACTGTAATGATCTTCACTCGTTAATGAACAGATTAATCTGCATAATGAGGGACACCGGGAACGGGCTGTGCTTGGGCAGGAATGAGACTATATCCCCGCGCTGCAGATTTCCCGCGGTTTCCCCTCACACAGAATTGCGCGACCGGAAGCGACCCTCAGGCGCGCCGTGTTTTCTCGCATGCGCGTCGCGTCACATCCGGCCTGCGGAAGGATGAACGTAAATGTCAAAGATGGCGGCGGAGGGAGGAGGGAAGGAGATGAACGAGATCAAGAGTCAGTTCAGCACGCGGGAAGGCGCTTATAAACTCCTGTCGCACTCCGAGTACAGCCGACCGAACCGGGTTCCGTTCAACTCGCAGGGCTCCAACCCCGTCAGAGTGTCGTTCGTCAACGTCAACGACCAGTCCGGTAACGGGGAGCGCATCTGCTTCAATGTGGGCCGAGAACTCTACTTCTACATCTATAAAGGCGTGCGGAAGGTGACGGAACACACACACACACACACACACACACACACACACACGCATATGTCACTGAAACACTGAGAGCATTAACTGTACAGCACTGCTGACAAAACACACACTGTCACACACAAACACACTCTACACAAACACTGACACACACAGGATTTACATACACACCGGTACACACTCAGACTACACACACTGCCGCGCACACACACATAAACAAACACACTGCTCTGCGTGTCAACAGTTGGGTGCGCGCGTGCGCGTGAGTGTTTTTGACAGGAGTGTGTTGATCGTGAAATAGTGAGTTCAGTGTGTGTGTGTGTGTGTGTGTGTGTGTGTTGTTGACTGAGTGTGAGTGATAGAGCTGTGCTGTGTATGTGTGTGTTGTTGACTGTGTGTGTGTGTTGTTGACTGTGTGTGTGTGTGTGCAGGCCGCAGACCTCAGTAAACCCATTGATAAGCGCATCTATAAGGGGACGCAGCCCACCTGCCACGACTTCAACCACCTGACGGCGACGGCGGAGAGTGTGTGTCTGCTGGTGGGCTTCTCTGCGGGACAGGTGCAACTCATCGACCCAATCAAGAAGGAGACCAGCAAACTCTTCAATGAGGAGGTGACGCACACACACACACACACACACACACACACGCACACACACCCCGCTGCTCATTAATGCTGGTCATCACGCAGCGCTGCATCATTTACTCGGTACTCTTGTAGGACTCAGGCAGGTGTGTGTGAGGTGTTGAGTTGGAGCTGAACCCTGCAGGGCACCGGGGGCTGGTGACGCCCGCTGTAGAGTGTTCTCTGGTCATCATCAGTACAGGAGTGAGCATGACCGCAGCAGGGTCTGCAGTCGAGTGCAGATGCACATGATGGCGACGGGATCATCAGTGTGTGCTGTGTTTAATGACGACAGGAAAGCACAGGGGTCCACCGTTAAACGTCTCATGGTTGATTAATTCAGTGTGTGTGGAACAGGGGAGGAATGACCGTCTCCGGGATTTATCAGATTATTATGGTAGGTGGGCTACAGACGCTTGCGTGGGTCTGCAGCTGCGTGCTGTCATCACGCCGTTGTTGATGTGAGCAGAGATGGGAAAGTGTGAATTTAACGACGTGGCGATGAGGGAATGTGTAAATTCAGCATAAACACCCTTTCGTCAGTGATCAGGGTGCTCAAAGCCATCGAGTCGCTCATGAACGGAGGAAAGCAGCTGCGGGACGTTGCAGCAGCCGGTCATAGCAGGTCCAGGTTAATCCCTGCATTGTTTGCAGCTCGACCTAACAATGATACTGAGTCTAGAGCTGAAGATCTGTGCCCAAACCCCACTTCATTTCTGTCAGTGTAGACCGGGTTGGGTCAGGCCGGCCTTGCAGAGTAAATAATCAGTCATGTGATGCATTTCGATTAGTGTGAAAAGAGTAATCAAATCGCTTGTTACAACATTAAACTCCATCCAGGTGAAACAGATGATGACAGAGAAGTCCAACAGAGCGAGTGTTGACTGCGGTCAGGCCGGCCGCTAGTTCAATAAGAACAGTCATTC